TATTTTTACTTTTGAACGTGAGAGTAAGATGATTCCAAAATTAATAACTAATTCCAAAATTTCATACAAATTGGAGCACAGTAAAAAAATTCAGACCCAAAACGCTCCATTGACTTGAGTAAATATTCCGTGCCCGATGCCAAACATTTGATTTTTTTTGTATTGTGATTTGGCAGAGCAAGGTAAACCACGACTGCATTACTTAAAAAATAATAATCTGTCAAATTGACAATCCACAACCCATACCGTCAGACGCATGCGCATACTGTTCATGTGCCAAATATATACTGTATCTTAATTTTTGGCACATCTCAGCTGCTTTTTGGCAATTTTCACATTCACATTACATTTTTCTAATTCATAATCATGAATATATTATATTATAATATTAGTAGTTTGATGATAGTTTTCATTTATTTTTAATGCTAGACAATGCCTCAATATTTTCAATGTCAAACAATGATAAGCATTTTTTTGTAATTTTTTCCATTTATTTATACAATCTAACTATATTTCGATAATCACATAATCCTAAAAAAAATCCTTAACAAATTTCAAAAAGATTTATCCAAATCTAATTAATCCTTTCATACATCATTACGAAAGAATTATATATATATATATATATATATATATATATATAAATATATATTTATATATATAATATATATAGATATATATTATATCTTTTTATGGTTACTCCAAAAATTAAGTTTGAAAAACGGGCCACTTTGGCATATTATCAATGATATCTCGGTCATAAGGTGAGATACAAAGTTGAAGTTTGGTATAAAAACACCTTCAAAATGGCGTATGAATTATTTAAATACAAGAGTGCAGCTGATTATGTACGGCAATGCGCCCACACCCTTGCAACAGTCAGAATAATCTAGCTGTTTATATATAGTTTCTGAACAGTTAAAAGAATACACCCTCAAAATTTGAGCCTTGTGGGAGCAGGTTATGAATTTTTTTTACATTTTCAAAAATTGAAGGGATGATAACGCAACCGCGGAATGACTGCCAAAATAGCACTTTCTTAATGGGCGAATAATAAAATATCATTAAAAAAATTCTAGCTTTGTGAAAATAGGTTAGTCAAATAGTTCACTGGCTCTTACTAATAATACACTATCTCGTCAATAATGTTACCTTGAAATTTCAGTATTGGAAGTGTTCGAGCAGAAACTGATGTACAAAACCTTTCCTTTTGATTTCTTTATATTAAATTATTTTATTTCTTTTTATCATTATCGTCACATTCTATATATGTTACTTTTAACACAAGCATGAACTAAGTCATCTTGTGACGCGGTGTTACGCTTTTGATTTTAATTAAATCTTGAAGTTGACGACATAATTTTCAATGACATACATTTGACGTTTCGAAATTAATATGGTTGCCGTATAAGGCGATATATAAGCGTTGCAAGGGACCATATCCAGTAACTCATTTTGAATGACGACATCGCGGGCCAATTAAGAATCACTTTTCTGAGTAACGCATTTTCATCCAAAATTTTCTGTGTTACTCCTTAGTCGGGCCAAAAGAAGATTTACTTAAAAAAGCACAGTAACATACATTTACCGAAAAGTGGTCTATTTTACGGCAAAATTGACCTATTAAACTCAAGGTTAATGCTACAAACAAAATTTTTCAGTCGTATTGGTAGGGGAGCTAGCAATGTTTTCGAGAAAAAACATTCAATATTCCTCGTACATTTCGTTACGGTACGGGAAGTTCCAGCAATTTGCCTTAAATCACGATTCTGTAAAATGAGCAATGTTTTTTAAAAACCGACGTAAATTTAACAATTCAACAATTCAAAGGGGATTATTTTAGATTAATATGTACGATTAAAAGCCACTGTATAATGATTGTTATTCGGCCTAGGCCTCTTAAAGTAAGATTGCAATGGGGATTATCTTTATTCAGACAGATTTATTCGTCTTATGGCTTAACGATACAATAATGTATGAGGCATCTACAGTTTATCTTCCATCTCATATGTTGGTACTAGAAACTGGCACATGTATAATCAATATAATAAAAATGTTTAAACACTTTGGATGGTTATAACATGCCTCGCATTCATTTATACATAATTATTGTGTTTTGATTAAAACAATTATTCATGTCATGAGATTTTTATAGTTTTGTAATCATAATTTTTAATACATTTTTATAACACATAGAAATATCTTTTTATGAATTTATATTTTCTATACTACGACATCTACAATGAAGATTGAACATGGATACAAGAATTGATAAAAGAAAATATTGACTTTGGTGCAACGCCCTAATCACTGGTCTTCCGTTCGCTACTTAAAAGAAACGCCCAGTCCTCGGGTCATCTCGGGTTAACTCATTTACTCTAGTCATGACACCGGACTTCCGTTGGCATACACATTCTGCATGTCCAGCCCTCGGGTCATCGCTGACACCAAAAAGTTTACTGGGATCGTAATTCAATCACTCCTTGTCCTTTAACTCACCAAAACGTATTTTGATGCTCAGGACTTTGGAACTGGATCTGGATTGTATGTTGCTTTTAGAACTGGATTTAGATACTCTATCCAAGTTGTTCTCATCGACTCCAGTCATTCAAACAGTAAGCTCTTATGAAGATTCAGGCAATTCAATCTTGCACTATTGAATCAACTGCCCTCGTCGACCCAACTATCCGAGATACTCCATCGACAAGTTATAAGATATAAGGTTTTACAACTTCGGTGATTAGGCCAAGATTATACAAAGATTTCAAATTCACAACTCTGCTACAATCTGCCTTCCCACCAAATAAATATAACATGTTGACGTGCATATTTAAACTAGTGTGAAGTCAACACTGGGCAGGGAGTACATGTGGGAATCAAAGAGGCCATGTGTTTTAAATTAAAACAATTATTCATGTCATGACATTTTTATAGTTTTGAAATCATAATTTTTAATACATTTTTTATAACGCATAGAAATATCTTTTTACTTATTTATATATTTTTATAATTCCTTCAAAGCAATCAGACATGCGATCCTCCCACACTAGGACAATAAATCTGGTAGGTATTGCTCCAGGAAGATGGTAATTAAGGGCTGACACTACAGTTTGAAAACGACTCATTAAATTCAAATTTCAGCACAAATCAATAGATTCTTATCTTTCAATTATAATAGATGTTCGGTGATGTATAAAGTCTGCATATTATGAAGAATATTAATTTTTTAAATTTTCAGATGGCAAATTGTCTGGAACGGTGATTCTAATAAAAAATGGGATGAACACAATTTTGCAGAAAAGTTTATGATAAACCAATCTGTCTAACATGGTTTATTGATTTTTCTTACTGGAATCGCAATTAAACCACTCCTTGTCCTTTAACTCACCAAAACGTCTTTTGATGATCAAGACTTTGGAACTGGATCTGGATTGTATGTTGTTTTTAGAACTGAGTTTAGATACTTTATCCAAGTTGTTCTCATCGACTCCAGTCATTCAAACAGTAAGCTCTTATGAAGATTCAGGCAATTCAATCTTGCACTATTGAATCAACTGCCCTCTTCAACCCAACTGTCCGAGACACTCCATCGACAAGTAAGTATAAGGTTTTACAACTTCGATGATTTGGCCAAGATTATACAAAGATTTCAAATTCACAACTCTGCTACAATCTGCTTTCCCACCAAATAAATATAACGTGTCGACGTGCATAATTAAACTAGTGTGAGGTCAACACTGGGCAGGGAGTATATGTGGGAATCAAAAAGGCCATATGTTTTGAATCAAAACAATTATTCATGCCATGACATTTTTATAGTTTTCAAATCATAATTTTTAATACATTTTTTATAACACATAGAAATATCTTTTTACTTATTTATATATTTTTATAATTCCTTCAAAGCAATCAGATATGCGATCCTCCCACACTAGGACAATAAATATGGTAGGTATTGCGCCAGGAGGAAGGTAATTAAGGGCTGACAATAGAGTTTGAAAACGACTCATTAAATTCAAATTTCAGCACAAATCAATAGATTGTTATCTTTCAATTATAATAGACATTCGATGATGTATAAAGTCTGCATATTATGAAGAATATTATTTTTTTAAATTTCCAGATGGCAAATTGTCAGGAACGGTGATTCTAATGAAAAATGGGATGAACACAATGTTGCAGGAAAGTTTATGATAAACAATTCTGTCTAACATGGTTTATTGATTTTTCTTATGGATAATACACGTAATGTGCTCTAACTAGTATAAAGTTTATTGTTCCATTCACACCAATGTATTTGGCTATTATTTCACTCCGTCCACTAGTATCATATTGTCAGACTTTTCTCATTGCCAGACATGCTTAACAACCACAGAAAAATCTGAAAATTAATTTTATGACTTATCACCCCTAATAAACATAATATTAAAATTACAGATAGACTAAAATGATTTAAATTTTAAAAAGAATTAATAAATAAATTGGTACCTGGTACATATTTAGCAAAGGCAAAAATATCTGTCAACAACAAATGTGAGTCTGGTGAACTTATTCAAAGATAAAAAAAAATAAAATTGGACTGACTAAATGCTTTCAAAATATGAAATAGCACTGTACAAGTTGGCTGCGCACTAATAAACGCAACCACTTCCAGCTGCCAAATAACGATCTAACCCTAACCGAAAGAGAACGAAGGACCACATACCAAAAAAAACAGCTTGCCTAAAGTCCTAGTTTTGAAAACGTTGCTGCCTCCTATACTATGTCTTATGTGTGTAAAAAATTTGGAATGCTACTTCAAACACATACAGACTCACAAACATTGCAGATTGTGATACAAACTCAGATACAAAATAAATTATGTAGTATCAATCCTACAATACGTAGATACCACATACGCTTAAAAAATGCGAGTGTTTGCGGCTGTTCATACAAATGTATACAAAAAATATTGAGAATTTAAATAAGTATTTATATTAAATATATAATAAACTCTTTACCTCGGAAGTATAGCAACAATAGTTGAGAGTATTATGATAAGGTAGTAAAGCATGCTACTCATATTGTGATGTATAACCCAGTAGCTGGAAGGCAGTCCAAAGCACTGGTCACATATGGTATTATAAATCAAACAGAATGTGTAAAATGATCCAACACTGGCTAAAATACTAATTACATGTATGACAGTCTGAAATTTAAAAAAAAATGCGTTAAAATTATTACTATAACAAACTAATTTCTAATATATATATATATTAGGGTGATCCTTAAAATGGTCATTTTCGAATTTCCTTGCTCCCAGGGGCTCAAATAGATCATTCCAAATAGATAAAAAACAATTCTCTGAAAGTTTTAGCTCTTAATATTAACGTTTAGATAGAGCGCAATTCAATCAAAGTTTTGTATGGAAATAGCATAAAAAAATTTTCAAAAATTTTAATAATGTTTTTTAAATGTAATTTAGCGAACAAATGAATGAATAAAACTCATTCATTTGTCGCTAAGTTATACTTAAAACATTTTTTTTAATTTTCAAAAATTTTTCCATGCTCTTTTCATACAAACTTTGATTGAATTGCGCTCTATCTAAACGTTAAAAGAGCTAAAACTTTCAGAGAATTGTTTTTTATCTATTTGGAACCATTTGAGCCCCTGGGAGCAAGGAAATTCAAAAATGACCATTTTAAGGACCACCCTAATATATATATATATATATATATATATATATTAAATTTTTTATATAATTTTGATGTTGAAATATGTGAGATTCAGTCTTCAGGGCAATACATCAATTAAAAAATTTTTCCTTGCGTTAATCTTAAATTCTTTGGAGAGTTCGTGTGCCTTGTATCTAGCTTTTAACACGTGTTGCGCTCATTGATGTACATTCAGTCTGCACCCGTACATCGGAACACAGAATAGCGGGATGTACTTTACAATTCCATAAAAAACTCATTCGAAAATTTATATATTGTTCAATTTAAAGTGACAAGAATTGGTTTTTTGGTGCATTGTGAACATTTATAATTATGAAATAATTAGGATTAATTCAATTACATATAAGTTCATACCATATCACTTCTTATATATTAGATGACACAAAACAATGTGTCGAAACGTATGGAAAAAATAAAAATGTTTTAAAGTAATACAAATTTTTTAATTGATGTATTGCCCTGAAGACTGAATCTCATATATATATATATATATATATATATATATATATATATATATATATATACTAGCTGACCCGACAGACGTTGTTCTGTACCCACGTCTACAATTTTTCAATATTTTATACTAATATTTACTGCTTCGTTAAAAATAATAATTACTCTTTTTTGAATTACTATTTTCACCAATATATGAGTGATGTTGAATGTAGAACTGTTTCAAATAAAATGATTGTTCTCAATTCCCACAGTTAACACTTTAATTATTCATTTGACAAATATTAAAAAATGTTCAATAAAATTGTATATTAAAATTTATACACTGCGATTTATAGAACAAATTTATTCCCAATAGCTCAATTTATTTTATTGCATTTAAGGGTTATATAGTTATGTATAAATGAATGATTTTTTGTTTATTCACGACCAAAACATTGATTTTCCAAACTTATCACACTAAAAATGATCGTCTGCCTTTGTGATTTATGGTCATAGCATAAGATACACGTGTTGAAAATTGAAATCTTTTAAAAAGTACAACAAATTCAGAAATAATTAATATATAGCATTCGCTGCAAAGGTGCAATATCACCTTTTATTTTTCTACCCACAATAATTGCTTCAATAATGTTTCCTATAATTGTTATAATTTCGTACCATATTTTAACTGGCTTTTAGTAATTTTAATATCTAAATTACATTTTTTTCTCCAATAAATCAATATACATTATTGCTTAAGTTTATATTTGAAGTGAATTAATTTGCCAAATCCTGTTCAAATGTGCTCTATTCAACTTACGATCAACAAAATTATTGCTCTGTGAATTTTTTTCACTGTGCTCCAATTTACTTGATATTTTGGAAATAGGCTAATCTTTATCTTAAGTTCAGAAATGAAATCAATTTGCACTCCGACACCATCCACCGTATTAATTGGATTATTACTCTTTTAATTCTGATTTTATCAGAACTTGTAATACGCTATTTTAAAGGTGATTAAATGAGCTACAACTTTCTCTATCATAATGTTTACCGTAAGTTATTGTGAAACGGCGAAGGGTTAAAGGGCTCGAAAGACCTCTGGTTGGACAGCCGCGCACTCCTTAATTAATACCTCTATTAATATTTGTGTAATGGAAAAATAATAAACAACAATAATTAGTCAGAAAAATACCTCAAATTTTCATATATTTATATATATATATATATATATATATATATATATATACTTTTATACGTATTCTTTCAGAGATATTATAATGAGAAATTGGATGTTTTTTTTAATGTTTTTTTTTTCATAAAATCATGAGTTTTTTTAAAATCGTTTGTACTAAAATTGTGGTATTTTCTAGAATTCATCAAGATCTCTTAAACCAAGTTAATTCGAAGAAATGGCACTGAAAAACTATTTGATTTAAATGAAAGAACATTATAAGCGTCTTTTATTTGCTTGATAGTTTACACATTTTACACGCAGAAGTACTCATTTTAAAGCTTATTTTGAGCACTATAAAAACCCATTTTCATATCTAGCCTAATAATGTTAATAAAACACTATAAAATAGCGATTTATTAAGATTTTAATTGATATAATTTTGTTTATTACATGATTTTCGTTAAAATGTATATTTTTGAAGATAGTAGCAAAAAATGATGAAAAACGCAAAAAAGAAACAAATTTTCAGTAGCCAGTAACTTGAAAAGTATTTGCTTTTTTGAAAAACATTATTAAACATTTTTCTCTTATAATTAGTTCTTTTATCGATACCCAACGTTATTTTGAAAAAAGTAAAATTACACCACTGAAAAGAAATGTCATCCACCCGAGAAGTGGTAAAGGAGTCTAAATTGTTTTCACTTCTGAAGAGTAAGATGACCTAGTTCCAAAATTCCAAACGAAATGGAAAACAGTAAAAAAAGTTCAGACCGAAAGCGCTCCATTGAGTAAATATTCCGTACCCAATGACAAACATATGAATTTTTGACACAATGAAACTTCAAAATAATTTTTTTGTATTGTGACTTAGTATAGTAAGGAAAAACGACTGCAAATTGAATATTTTTGAGCGCAATCACTTATGGCTCGTCTCATTTGCACGAATTCGTACGGCGAATCTGTTCGCAAAGTGCGCAAACAAAATTATTATGTTTATTATGTTTATTATGTGCGTGTCAGACGCATGCGCAGACTGCATCACTTGTCAGATGCAAATAATATAATCTTATATTAATTTAATTTTTGGCACATCTCAGTTGCTTTTCGGCATTAATAATGTAGACATTACATTTTCCTTATTCATAATCATGAATTTATTATATTTTAATATTGCCTTAGCCTATAAGTGAATAGAAATGTTTGGCAAATGACAGTCTTCAATTGTTTTTAATGTCAAACTAAGCTTCAAATATTTTCAAGGGCAAACAATGATAAGCGTTTTTTTGTAATTTTTTCTATTTATTTCTACAATCTAACTATATTTCTATGAATCAAAACATTCTAGAAAATTTCCCGAACAAACTTCAGGAAGATTCATGAAAATCCGAATTACAGTTTAGGATAGTGGTCGGGGAACTTTTGGAACCGTTACCCCAAAATGTTTTTGTGCAACCTCTCATTACCCCACAAAGAAAAATTAACTAAAAGAGCCTATAATTGGAATCTGTTTGCAACATATTTTTGTATAACCTGCCATAACCCGCAGATTAACGGTTTGCTACATTGTTCGTTACTTCTAAACTTTGAAAAAGGCTGAAACAAAGGGTTTGAAGGAAACAATAAGTAAAAATTATATTCATTATGAATAAATATATTTTTCATGAATATCCTACTAATACATGAATAAACTAGTTGGTTTGTTATTTAGTCTTGAGGCAAGTTACATGAACTTCCCGATATGAGTAAATAATCGACTTAATCAATAAAAACTAATTTTATTTATGAGTGATTAAAAGTATTCCGAGTCGATTTATTACACATAATTGAAAACAAGCAAACAGATTAGTAAGTAAAGTAAATTTTCAGAAATCAATAATTTTTATAATTGAACAAGTTTCCAGGACTTTAATGGTTTATTATGTTCAAGACCAAGTACTCTATCATTATACCAAGTAAATAGCCTAATTTTAATTTTAAAAAATGTCAAAAGGACTACTCATTTTCTCAAACTTCGATGATTTTTTAAAATCAAACTAGTAGTCGTAAGGCCGTAATATTTCAGTAAATTCTATAAGACCATAGTATATATCGCTAAACAAAAATCCATAAAAATCGGCTTAAATTTTTTTTTCAAAAGTTAATTACAAGAAAACGGCTCGGTAGATTTTCACCTAAAACTAATCAGTATCATTCCCAACTAATACCTTTCGAACAGTTTTTAATTTTTTAAAATCGGTTCGGTAGGATGAGCTTAAATGTGGACGAAAAGTTTAACACTTTTTTTCAGGGCAGATTGATTTTTCATTGGCAGATCGTCGCCCAAAACTGACAAACGATAGTCCTCGCCGAAATACATCAAATGGCTTTTAAATTGCTGAAATCGGTTCAGGCGTTTTTGAGAAAACGTCGATCAAAGGTCTAATTTTGACAAATGTCAAAAAAACGATACCAATTTGTGCAAACTTTGACGAATTTTTAAAGCTAAACAATTAGTCATAGGGCTGTAATATTTTAGTATGATCTAGAACACGGGTCGGCAAGCTTTTAACTGTAGTGTGCCAAGCCACTCTACCAATATGATTTAGAGTGCCACCTTAATTTTGAAATATATAGTTAGGTTCTAGGGGAGAAGAATTATAACCAAATTTATCTTTTAAACATTTTTATTAACATATAACATGTATTTCTAATATAAACAGTGCTGGATTACCCCATAGGCCCGTTAGGCCCGGGCCTGGGGCGGCATAATTTAGGGGGCGGCAAGTTTTTCAAAATGTAAATATTTTAAACTCAATGAAATGACACGATAATTCATTTTAAGGATAGATCCTGAAATTTTTTTTTGTAAATTTAGAGATC